TAAACAACAACCCCTAGAAAGGAACCATAGATTCTTTGAAACATTATCAGTGGGGGGCACTGTTTACATCAACATTATTTGCATGTGAGGATAATGAAAAAAAAGGCCAATCCCACTAGAAGCCAACAGATAAAGCACCTCATCCTCATCTTGAATTTACAATTTTACCCCCACAATATGTGCAATCCATCTAAACTGCTTAACCTTACAAAGAAAAACAACAGAAGAAGAAGAAGAAGAAACAATGGGTGGATTTGAGCAGAGGATTGAGACAATTGTGGGAGAAGAAGAGGAAGAGATGTTATTCCACCATTTCCAGACATGAATTTTGGCAATTAACTGTGTATGGGACAAATGGATTTGGACAAGAAAAAAGGAGGGGTCAAATTACAGTTTTACCCATTTGAAATCAATCGCCGCCGGTGGGAAACAGAGTAAGAACTTTCCTCCGGTTAGCTGACGTGGCGGATTCGACGTCGTCTACATACGGTGGTGCTCCTCCTCCCATCCTGTGCATCGGACTCTGTGAGTGTCGGGACAAGAACGAAGAATGATCAAAGTGCCCGTTCGGGGGCGATCCGAAATGCCGATACGGCGGCTGGAACTGCGGGTGGTGTCCGACCACCGCGGCCGCCGCCATCTGGTGGCCGGGGTGTTGCAATCCTGTAGCGGTGGTGACCGGGACAAACGGCAAGAAGTGGTCGGAATTCGACCTCACTGGGTGCAGGAAATGCGGCGGCACCGGAGAGCTCGCGAACAAGTGGTCCGTCGCCGGATCCACCCCACCAGATGCGGAATTCCCGCCGCCGCCGCCGCCATTGGAGAGACCTTGCATCCGCTTCAGATAAAGCCGGTACTTCTGCAGATGGCTGGCGACGTTCTCGCGGGTCAACCCGTCGACGCTCATCAGCTGCATTATCGTCTTCGGGACAGCATTCTTGATCCCCAAGTGGGCCACGGCGTCGACGAACCGCTTGTGGAGCTGCGGGGTCCACACGAGGCGCGGCCGTTTCAGGGTCCGGGCCGGCTCGTCTCCCCCGCCACCGGAACCGGAAGCCCCGCCGCCGCTGCCGCCGCCGCCGCCCAGGTCAGCCGAGTCGAATTCCGCGGAGGAATCCGCCATCAAAGGCGTTTGAGCCGCCGGAGGGAGATTCTGAGACTGGGGATTCGGGATATCGAAAGCTAAGGCTAGATCAGGAGTAATTAGGGTTTGAGATAAGGGGGTGAGCTCATCTGGAGATGGAAGCTCGTCTTCCCATTTAGCAAACCAATTCGACTCATCTTCCCTCATATCTTCCGCAGAATCTCCGACCGGAACCCCGCCGGAATTCCAAGATTCCGAATCAAGAAAAGGGAAAAAGATGAAATCTTTCTCAGAGAGAAAAAAAAAGAGTTTTTTTTTTGCCCCTTTGACAGAAGGGGGGGTTCGAGGTGGATCTTGTTTTTTCCACAGCAACTTTACAGCTTTTCTTTTCCTAAATTCAAAAGTTCTGTCTTGGGTTTTGGGTATAAACCGCCGGGAAATCGGGAGGAGACGGCGGCGCGGCCGGGCTCCGATCAGGGCTAAGAGAGAAGAAGAAGAAGAAGAGCTTTAGCAGGTATGAATCGTGAGAGTGAGTGCCCCCATTTTCAAGATTTTATTCTCAATTATTATTACATCTAAAAATGGGTGAATGCTATTTATGCAGGGGTGTTATCAATCTTAAGAGAATCTTTTTTTGTTCTGTTTTGCTAATTTTATTTTTTCATGATTAAGTGAAATTATTACAACTGTACTCATAATACAGAGTGGCGTATGATGATTTAATTGGTTGACTGTGGTGCTCAGGACAACGCCCTTTGCTCCATTTTTATGGTTCTGACTTCTCAGAATAACTAAAAAGATTTTCACTTCCTCTTCACCTCGGCAGTAAAAAAAAACTTGTGCTGGCAAAGGGAAGGCGTGCCCAAATGCGTTTTCCGAGTTCGATTTCTAGTAAGTGCGTCGTGAGACTCTTATACTGTACACAGAGACTTTGCAAAGTCGGGTGCATTTTTCGCCACTTGTTACTAATATAAGATTAAAATCGAACTTATATCTTTTCAAGTGATCGTCCGATCGGTTCTGGATGGTTTTCGAATATGGTGTTCATTCTTTATGAAAAAGTTTCGTTTGTGACCATTTGGACTGGTTCATCTCGTCATCACCTTTTCAAATCATCACAAATCAAAGAAAAAAGTTTTAATTATGAAATACTATAGTAAAAGATTAAGTAAGCTTGTAACAAAAAGCCATATAAGATTAAAATCGAATTTACATCTTTTCAAGTGATCGCCCGATTAGTTCTAGATGGTTTTTGGAGATGGTGTTCATTCTTTATAAAAAAGTTTTGTTTGTGACCATTTGGATTGGTTCACCTCGTCACCACCTTTTCAAATCATCACAAAGGCAAGAAAAAAGTTTTAATTATGAAATACTATAGAAAAAGATTAAGTGATTTTGAGTTCACACCCCCATGGTGTATGCATTTGAGAAAAAATCGCAAAAATTCACAAAAACAACTTGTCGGACCGGTTCGACCGGCCGATTTTTACCAGTTCAAAACGCTTCGGACTGGTTCGAAACAAATCACGATCTAAAGGGTTGGACTGGACCGGTTGGATTACCGGTTTTCCGGTTCACGGTCTGAACCGGTTGGTTCGGTCCGGTTTTCAAAACTATACTTAGGAGTGTAGTGGACCTATTAGTTTTAAATCGAACCAGACCAAAAATAATAGGACTGAACCAACTAAGACCTTGAAGACTAAATAGTAATACTAAGGGTACACTATTTTGTACACCATTTTGAAATTCTATGGAATTAAATTAGATGGGTTCAATTCCAAATTCTTTGTTTGGTATAATTATGAAATTGATATAAAATTGTATTGTAATTACAATTCTTTTATTTCATTACACAAGATTGGATATACAATTGATAAGAAATTATATTTTTGAAATTTCTAACAATAGAGTAATTGTAACCGAATTAAAATCCCAACAGTTTTCAAACCTCATTCAAACGTTAGCTATGTTAGCAGAATGCTAATAAAATTGGTAAATTTATTTATTTTCAAATAGTTCTTTCGATATTTAAAAATTCTAAAGTGTATATGTGTGTGTGTGTGTGTGTATAAATTTTAAGTCATAAATTTTAAATTAAATTTTAAATATTGAATTTTAATTTTAAATTGTGATATTTTATTTTTAAATTTTAAATTTCTAATTATAAATTTTAAAATTGAAAATTTATATTTTATATTTCAAAATTTAAATTTTAAACATTAATTTTTAAAATTGAAATCTTAAATTTGATATTTTAAATTTTCATTTAAAAATTTTAGATTTTATGACTTTAAATTTAAAGTTTTAGAATTTTAATTTAAATTTTAAAATTTAAAATTTAAGTTTTAAATTCTAAATTTTAAAATTTAAAATTTAAGTTTTAAATTTTAAATTTACAACTTTAAATTTTTAAATTATAAACTTTAAATCTTAAATTTTAAATTTGACATATTAAATTTTATATATTGAATATTAAATTTTAAGTTTTAAATTTTAAACTTTAGGTTTTAAATTTTAAATTCTAAATTCTAAAATTTAAATACTAGTTTTTAAATTAAATTTTTTATTTTAAATATTTGAATTTTTGAGTTTTAATTTTTAATTGATAGTTTTTAATTATTAAATCTTATTTTTTTTATATTAAATATTTTTTAAATAAAATTTAGTTTTAAGTTTTTAAAATTTAAATTTTATACTTCAAATTTTAAATTGAAATTTCTAAATTTCTGTTTATTAATTTTTAGTTTTAAATTTTTTTATTTAGTTTAAATTTTATAATTTTAGTTTCTGATTTGTAAGACCCTTTTCTTTGTTATAATCGAGAAAAGTTCTCTGTGATTTGAATTTGATCCTTAGAATTCAAAATTTGGATTTTCAATACTTTTTCTTTGATATGTAATTTAAAATTAGAATTGATAGATTTGGTATTAGAATTACATTCCAATTTAACATATTTTTGTACTTTCTAAAAAATAAATTGGATTTGAAATCTTCAATTTCCTTTCCATGTCGTTAATTCCGTATACCAAACGTAGTCTAAGGTCCATTTCATACACGGAATTCAAGCCCCCAACCTGCCTCCCCTTCTTCGAACAATAAATTTTTTTCCATAAGCAAAGAAAAAAGTTGTTGACGAATAGGGGTAATTTCTCACTAGTTTCCATACGAACCAAACAAGATTAAATATTTTGGTTTCTTTCACTTTTGTTATCTTCTATAATCTTAAAATTTTTCTTGTTTTAACTTTTTTTTGTTAAACAGTGACACTTTAAACACAAATTCTGAAAAAAGTATATCTAATTATAATGTAAATTTAATATAATTACATTCATCTTAGGATATAATTTTGATATGCCAAATTTTTATATCATTTATTTATTTATTTAGATTATGTTTAATTTAAACCCAAAGAGTGTCACCATTTGACCAAAAAATTAAAACATGAAAGATTTTTAAGAACCAAGGGAGTACTAGTTTGATGAGTTCTTGATAAATTGGTTGGACATTTGTTGAACACGTGGGGACGGGAAAATTTATGAAAAATAATTTGTAAATCTTTTACCTGTATTAAACCATTGTGCTTCGTATACGAATGCTACTATTGCGCCGGTCAATATAAAGGGTAGATAATATGGAGTAGTTCATAATACAACTCAGAAAATATAATAGTCCACTACTTTATCATAAAAGAAATTTTTTCAGGGACAAAGGGATAACCTTTCATGACGAATAATGTCGGTGCAATGCAACGTTAACGTCCACATCAACGGTTTCCCCATTTACCACGAGCAGATTAAGGCTCTGAGTTCGCAATGGCCCGTGAGTAAAAGATTTCATTTTGGGGCATTGGTTGATCTCCAAGTGTTTTAACAACGGAAGCTCTATAGCATGTTCGACTAGCCAGAAGACCCGAAGCTCGGGTAGCTGCGAAATCTTAAGTTTTTCCAGCTTAGGAAACACTGGTTTGTTGCCTCCTTTCACTTGGTCATTTGAAATCACTTCTTCAAGTTTATGGCATTGTGCAATATCCATTTCCTTGAGGTTGACAAAGGTGTGAGCAACTGAGGGGCAAAATAGCCATTTCAGATTGTTGCAGCATTCTATGCTCAAAATTTCAAGTTTGGTGAAGGAGCAGCTGCTCCATATCTCTTTCACTCCATCCAATATTTTGAGTGTCATTTTCTTTAGGGAACCAAATTTGACCTGCAAAGCAAAATAAATTATGACTTTGGCATTTGCTATAGATAAAGATACTTATTTAAGGGGAAAATTAATTAGGCATAAATGTGTTTTTCATCCATTGTGTCAATTGTGAGTGGAGCTAAAAGACTCATTTTTACCATTTTTTTAGCTTCAAGTATATAGTGGGTTAAGTCAAAATGACACATTAAACAACGTACTTAGGATTATACCGGGATTTTGTCGTTATTGTTGTTATGCATTTCATCCATTCAAACTTTTTATTTGACATTGTAATTCAAAGAGCATTTTAAGATAGAGAGTTAAAGAAACAATGTTGCCCACGAAAAAACGTCTCTTAAAAGCCAAAATTAAATCACAAGTTTACTATCGAATACCTGATAGTCAAAGAGTGAAAGGCCTTCTAAGTCACCCTGGCTTCGTGGAGGGCAGAAACTTGTAAACTTAGGTGCATTTGTTATCTCCAAGTGCATTAACTGAGGGAACTCAATGTCTTCAACACCATGGCAAAAACAAGAGAGGTTTGGCAAATTCTCAAGTCTCACATGGTTTAGTTTTGGGAACGTGAGCTTCTGCCTCACAAATGACCTCCCATTTCTTTCATTTAAAAAGACTTCTTCCATTGCCACACAATTACATATATCAAGATCTCTTAGCTTCACCAAACCTCTAGCTGTTGCGAGTGAAAATAGGCTTGACATTCGAGGGCACGCATCAATCGTTATGATTTGGAGGTTTCTAAGAGAGACTCTTTGAGATGAGTCCTCCAACAAAGTGGTCAATTTGGGGAGTGCAATGACTCTTAGGTGGTTAAACTTCTCCAAAGAACCTTCAAGAAACGGACCGTTGCATATCTTTAGAAAGTTGTTGAGGTGCAAGAGGCTAAGAGACTCTAGGATAGGGAAAACACACTGACTTGATGAGGCCAAATTCTCAGTGTTGGCCAAAAACACCACATTGCTACAATATTGAAGTATGAGTTTCTTCACATTCTGAAACCTTTCTATACCCAACACATCTATTGCCACCTTCGACCCATTCTCATCCAAATAAAGATCCTCTGCTTCCCTCAGCATGACGCAAACCCAATTGCTCAAAGGACTCATTACGGGCAGAGATAAATGCATAGCTTTATGCAAGTGTCCTTCCCCTAGGAAATATGAAGAGCTGAACACAAAGTACCTTCTTGGGAATGACTGGAAGGATATGTTTGTATGTAGAAGACTTGCCTCAAGTATTTGAATATTCAAACAGGTTAAATATCTTAAGTTACTGATCTCACGAAGAAATGACCCTTCGATGCAGTTGTTATTTATCAAGTATACCTCTTCAAGTCGTGCTAGTTGAGTGAATATTCCACGAGCAATCTTCTGGATGCAAGTGTCCCCCATGTTAAGGACCCTCAGGTTAGTCAGACATCCTATTTTAGCTGGTAATGTTTTAGCACTGCAGAAGCAAATGAGCATCTCAAGTTGTTTAAGCTCTCCTATGACCGAAATATCCTCAACGCCCTGGCTATGCAAATACAATACCCTGAGGTTCTTCAAACACTCTAGTGATGGTGGCAAAGAGCATAAGAAGCTTCCGGGCATGTCCAGCACTACACCATTGAAAGGAAATATGAAAGAAATTAAAATTTGTAGTTATAACTATTTTACTTATTTTGTTGTAAGCAGGAAACAATGAGAGAAAGAATATAACTATTTTACTTTTGTTGTAAGCGGAAAACAATGAGAGAGAAAAATAACAACGCGGAGTGCTTATTTTCCTCCCACCCAAACAACAACAAACCCAGTAGAATCCCACAAAAGTAGGGTGTGAGGAGAGTGTAAAAGTGTGGTGTGAGGAGAGTGTGTACGCAGACCTTTACTATGAAGCAGAAAGGCTGTTTCCAAGAAGAAAAATATACAAAAAATTACCTAAGAGACTAGGTGTTTCATGAAAAAAGTCTCCGGGCATTTTCAGTGTTGCGTTGTTGAATTGCAAACGCAAGACATTAAGTTGGGGGCATTTCAGTCTCTCAGGAAGGACAGTTAATGCATCTGATACCATGGAAATGCAAGTGAGACGTTCGTAGGCCATCTCTTCAGGCCACTCAATATCATGAGTTGAGATAAGAACATCATCTTCCTTGTTGGCAATGTATATGGCCACATCCTGAAGAACGTGATGCATTTTCACATATTTCTCATAGTTAACCATTGAAAACTTCTCATTCCCTTCACCTGCATCGTCTAACAAGAACCGGTCCTCTAGCATCTCAACCAGTCTACTAACTCTTCTCCTAGCTTCTTCCAAACCATTGACATTCTTCAACACCCTTAGCCCCAAACCATACCAAATCAAAAAATCTAATGGAATGCAGTAATCTTCTGGGAATAAAGAACATATCAGAAAAAGATATTGTGCTTCTTCGATTTCCAACAGATTGTAACTTAGTTCCAGCGGTTGGTAAACTTCCCTCAACACTTCTGGAATATTTGAGGGTGCAGATTTCCTCAACTGTTCACGCGCGTCCTCCCAAGAGTGTTGTGTTTTGTCCCTCAGTGCCCTTCCAACGGTTGTAAGAGCAAGTGGAAGATGGCTGCATTCCCTTGAAACATCTTGCGCGACACGGTTTATACCTGGTTCATTAACACAACTGCCAGCTCTTTCTTTGAACAGGCTCCACCCTTCATCTTCTTTTAACACCTCAATCACCAGTCTTTTGAGCCTCCATTTGAACGCAAGTGTCTTGGTGTCGAGAAGTTAGCATGATCTTGCACTCTTTTGAGAGTGCAAAAGAGATACCGAGTTCCTCCAAATCTAACCATGCCCAAACATCGTCTAGAATCAAAAGTGTCTTTCTTAGAGCCACTCTCCTCTGAAGCTTGTTTGCTCTGACAATCAAATTATCTTCTTTTAATTGGAAACCTAATGCCTCGGCGATACCTTCTTGGATTTTCTTAATATCTGGTTTTGGACCGACTGATACCATTACAACCTCATCAAACATTGCCTCTTCCTTTACTTTCTTCCCAACCTTTTTAGCTATCATAGTCTTTCCCACTCCCCCCATGCCACAAATCCCAACGAGGTTGACCTTATCATCCATGAGTGCTTCAATGATTTCATCTTCATTGGACTTTCTTGATTTGAATTCCACATATTGTCTATGCCCAATAAATTCAACTTGAAGAGGAGGGGCGGGACGAGAAAAATTTATGTAAGCGGTACCTTCCACTAGGAGTTCAACCACATCTTCTGTGCTCTTTTTGGCCTTCTTGCTCAATGTGTAACGCAACTTGACATTCGGGCACCAACCTTTACACCAACCTTTTTCAACGTCCGGCTTCTTATTCATAATTCTCTCTTCCACTCGGGTGATTTGGTCTGCTCTAACAAGCCATGTATTGACATTTGGTGCGATGACCTGCAAGTTATCCTCCTCCGCGCTAACCCTTTCTTTCACCCCATCCCTCATGACCTTCATCCGGTCCACTTTCTTTGAGAAATTCTCGACATTGCAACTGTACATAAACACATACCCAATCTCATTCAAAACTGGCTTTACGACACGCTCAAGAACCGGTCCAAATATGGCAGATACCACTTCCATCCTCCAAATTCAAGGCATGTAGCTCCTTTTATCCTAACAAATAAGAAAGAATCATAATAACTTATTGGCATGGTACAATATATTTATAATCTCATTCAACCAAAAGCCATGAACACCATATCTTATCAATTCAACATCTGCACTATCTTCATTTTACAATAGGGTAGTAGTGCTAATCAGAAGGGTCCACCGCTCGATCTAGCCGCAGGGGAGGTAGAGTGCCGCCGTCGCCCCGCCGTCTGACCTCGCGCATAGCCCGGGAGCCGCCATCCAGATCTGTTGCTGCTGGAGACAGCCGCTGTGAAGGTGACATTCGCGCAGCAGAGCAGTCTGCCGTTGGCTTTATAGAGCCGCAGCCGCCGACGAGCAGTAAGGGGACAGGACAGGTCCTCCGCCGTCCGCCGCGCCCAGGAGCTTGAGGTGCCGCCGCCGCCGTCCAGTTGGTGTTGCCGTGCAGAAGGTCCAAAACCGCGCCTCCATCTCCGAATCGCATTGCCGAATAACCCTCCACAATCGCCGAAGGAAAAGAAATTGTTTGTTGATTTTTTTAGGATTGGCAGGCCGCGTTTAGTGTTTTTCCAGGCAGAAAGTTTTCAATTTTGTTGTTAGAGTTGATGAATAAGATTAGAGATTAGCGTTAGCATTTTGGATAAAATTTTAACGGTGCAAATTCTTTTGAAAATGCTAACGCTAAACGCTGCCCGTAGATAATTTTTTTAAAATGCTAACGCTATTCCCAAACATGCTCGAAGGGTGTCAGTTATCGAGCAGATCAATAGATTGAATTTGATCTTAGCAACACTTTTGTTAGTGGATATTAAGTTTGATTATGAAGTTGGATCTCTACTATATCAATTATCATTGCTAGATAATTAGTCCAGGATAGTTACAACAGTTACCAGCTCAACTAGACCAGATGGATTCATAAGATTCGTGATCTCACTCTTGGCGAGGATGTCAGAAGAAGTTTTGTGGAGTTATCAAGTGAATCGCTCAATGTCGTTAGAAGAATAAGGAATAGTAGAGCTAGACATTGAGAGTTGGAGAAAGGAGTCAGTTAAATACTCGAGATTACTCAGGTGTAATGTGTTCGAACTGTAAGGAAGTGGGATATTTCAGGAATCAATGCATAATAGAAAAACAATTGAACATTGTAGAACATTCCACGAACGAGGAACTCTTCGTATGTTGCACGGAGAGCAATGTGGGTTCCTAGGTCATAGATTCCAGTGTTTCATTTCAAGCTACACACAACAGTAAAGCATTGTGAAATCTGGTTATTAAGGACATTAGAAAAGTAAGACTAGCGGACGTTAGAGCTTTCGATATTACGGGCATGAGTGACATAATGTTGAAGACGCGAGTTGGTCTCTGGATTTTGAAGGATGTTACAATTGTTGCAAGATTGTAGAAAAGTTTGACTTTGAATGTTGGACGATCATGGAAATGATGTGAAGTTTGGAAATGGGTTGTGGAAGGTCATCAAGGGAAATTTCGTTATGGAACTGGAAGAATGAGAGGCTTGCTGCATGTAGTTGGATTACCATGTGAGGGAATAATCGTCCCAGTTCAAAAGCTGAACAAAGTTTGGTTCACATAATCTTATAAGTAGAACAAGGTTATAATTGCAAGAGAGAAAGAGCCACAAGTCAAATTCGGAGTGAACAAGTGTGGAAAGGTTCACGTAGACCTGATAGAGATGTCTGTGGTAGTGAAGCACATGTCATGCTTCAGCCAAGGCTCCTAGATAACATTAGGTCAGGATTAAAATATCTCTAAAAGATTTCTTGCTGATATATTGTTTCTTCTAAAGGTGTTCTAGGATTCGGAAATTCATATGTGTAATGGGAGCCGGTAAGGGCCGAGGACGAGTCAAGGGCATGTTTAGCCATGACTGACTTGTTGGAGCTTCTAATTCGGGAAGCTGCAATGGGCCTTTCAATTGATTGATGAGAAGGCCGTTGTGATAAGAGAGTCGAGGAAGACTACTAGACGTACAAATATTCTATATATACGGATGACAGTTTGAAGATCGTCAAGCCTCCAAGTAGGAGATTGTTTTGTTTTGTGGAGATTCAATTTGGGTTGGGCTCGGTTCTTTTCAAAGACTAAATTATTGTGGTAGATTAAAGGAACAATTGAGTTAGTTTTACTAAATCAAGCTCATTTATGTTTTTTAGTTAACAAGTTGGTAGTCCTAATTATTTCATATATAGACAAATTGTGCTTCTATTTTACATATAGGGCTGTCAACGGATAGCTGAAAATCTGATTATCGTCCGCATCCGTATCCACTTAAAGAGGAAATATCCGCATTCGTTTTAAATGGATATTATCAGTATCCGATTAAGTATATCTAATTACTAAACGGATACGGATTTAGTAATTGTATATCCGATCCGTTTAAAATCTGATCCGAATATGGATCCGTTTAAATAATCGTTTATCCGAACATCGGATCCGTTATATATTGTTTTTCCTAATTTTTTATGTTTATAATTTGTTTCTCTATTGATATTTCAAAATATAATATATTTTTATATACAAAATAAATATGTAGACACATAAAAATATATACTGACATATAAAAATATATGTATATTGTGTGCTGTGTATATCTTTTTGTCATATGAAGTTATCGTAGAATATCATAAATCATGAAAATAAAGAAAATAATTATCCCATACCAAATTATAATTGATTTAATAATAGTTTGACTTTAATCTAATTTAAAATTAAATTATTGTTTAATTTGATTTTAAAAACTGCAAACGGATACGGATATATCCGATATCCGATGGATGTGGATACAGTTTTGATTTCCAGTATCCGTCAAGATCCGTATCCGAATTCGATATCCGACAAAAATAAACGGATACGGATTTGGTAATGGCACATCCGATCCGATTAATATCCGTTTACACCCCTACTTAAATAAGACACCAAATGAAATAAAATTCCTCTCATTCTAGTCGCGAATTAGAAAATCAAACCACGCAAAATTCTTGTGTATTGTCTGTATTCCATTTCACTCTGTTCTTGTAGATAAATCATGTGTGTTGCGTGTTTAATTTCCAACCGTTACTAAAATTAAAAAGAAAAGGCGTACCTTGGTGAACAAAGGTTCTTTTCAATGGAGGAGTTTTGAAGAGAGATGAAGAATGGGACACTTTGTGTTTGACCAAAGTAGAATATATATATATATATATATATATATATATATATATATATATATATATATATATATATATTCTAGTGAGAATGCTATCTTAGGAGAGAAATGAGAATGAATCTGGTGTTTTAAATTGTAAAATCTAAGGGTCAGGATTGGATCAAAATTAGGTGCATCAAAATGGTTTCAAAATGCATCATGTCGAAATGCACTAAAATCCTTTGAAAATGCATTATATATATATATATATATATATATATATATATATATATATATATATATATACACATACATACACACACACACACACAAACACACACAAAGGGAATTGAAAGACAGACTGACAGAGAACATATAAAAGAAGACAAATTCTATGATGGACTTACATAAGTCCACTATGGATCTATATATGAGTAAAATAAGTATTTTCTTACTACTTAAATAAATATTTATTTTTTATAAAAAAAATTTGAAAAAAATTATATGAGAAGGTCCACACAAATGGTGTGCACCCAAAGTTGCACCATAGAAGCACTCATAACCATAAAAGAAATGCTTTGCTGAGAGTACAAGTATTGATTGCATCACATTTAATTGATACTACAAATGATAAATCCTCTATAAATCTATAGACACAGACATTTGGAAAAACACAAAGCTTATAGGCATTTAACACTGAGTATATAAAGGATTACCACCTATGTGTGTATAATTTTACAAACAATTGGTATCTGTGTTGTTAGCGGTAGTGAGTTTTTAGCATTTTTAATTTATAAATTGGTTTAGCTCGATTGGGAAAAGTTGGGGGCACTCACTAAGGTTTCTCATCAACTTACTTTATTTAATTTATTACTTAAAATAAAATAAAACAATAAAGAAAAAGGAGAGGGAGCGTTGTTCACCTTATATTTGAAGGATATATTTGTCTAGAAGGACATTGGGTAACAATATCAGAACCACGAGGGGAAACGATGTAAGTTTTGAAATCATATGGGGTAACAGTGCATATTACCAAACCAAAGGAAGTATTGGTGTAATAAACCTCTAGTGTATTACCCCTCGGATATCCCTTGCACAACGCCCACCGATAGTTTCTAGAGTGTAAGAAATATGAGAATGGATCTCCTGTCCCAAAAAAGATATTCCACCTCATGTCATGTCCCCACTCTCTCAAATGTTTTCACATAGCACAAAAATGAAACTGAACCAAATTTTATTTAAGTGGCAGCATGTGAGATGGGAATCCCTACACAGACATTCAATGTACACCAAGGCCAATACAGACACATACAGACATTCAATGTCTGTGTGTGCATAGACATTAAATATCCGGGTGTGTCCGTATTGGTCTTGGGGGTACTTGGTGTCAAAATCCCGGGGTCCCCCTAGCAACTCCTCTTCAGAACAGAAACAAGAAAATGATATGAGATGAACAGAAACAAGTACTACATTGATGAAAGATGAACAAAAGTATAACAAAGATCAATACTGGAATCGTAGCGAGATGGCGATGATAGCTCCACGCACGAGCAAAGCCACATTTGAACGTTCAAAGCGATTGCCATCATGTTTGAATCCCTAAACAACATCAAAGAGTTTTCCCATCCCTGTAAAGATGATGTACTGTGTATAGGGGAAATGAGGAGAATAATATTGCACATTGTTCATCAACAATATGGATATGAGCATCATCTAAAGAAAAGATCAATCTGAACACAAGAAAAAAAAAGAAAGGAAATTGGAATATCTAAATCAAGGATGTATGGCATAATTTAGGGCCAAAGAGATCAATAATCTAGGGTTTATAGAGAAATCAAATCCAGATCTAAATCACTTCAATCAAATCCGACTCCCAATAAAATCACCACAATTTGCTCATAAAAAGAGATCCTCATAAGAATTCATTAGGAGGAAAATTATGAAGAAATTGGAAAAAAAAATTACCTGGGTTGGGGGTAATTACAGATTCAAGATCGAGCGGGCGGTCTCGGGAAAGAAGAAGATTCTGTGGTGAGCTCCTTGACGACGGCGGACAAGGCCTCGGGGTCAAAACCCAGATCGCAAAGCGCAATGAGAATGGAGAGGGTTTGGCGGTCAAGGCCGGTGCCGAGGATGTTCGACATGTGAAATGCCAAGTCCAGGGAGTCGCGTGCGGTGCGTGCCGCCTCCGGATCCATACTGTTCTTGCCGCCGTTAATCGCTCGAAATCTGGGTCGCCGGCGGGCAACTTCTACAGGGAGGGAGTTGTTGGTTGAGTCAAGTAAATCTGCGGAATTCAATTCGGAGCCTTTTCGTTAATCCTTTCACTTGATTTTTTTTTTTTATTACCAAAGTTAATACTCTTTTTCTTTTACCACAGTTAATACCTAGGTCACATAATGTGAATTCGAGCGTGGGGACGAGTGCGAGAGCGGAAAGCGTCACAACTCACGATTGAAAAGGGAGATGCTAGGGTACACCAAAAGTATAAAGAAAACCTCTATATAGGAGTAAAATATATGTCATGTCGTCAAAATAGAAGTTCAAACTTAAATTTATCTAAATAGAATTAATTAATTAAGCCATAAAAAATTAGTCTTCAGCGCAATTAATAATAGTGCAAATTCCATGCATCATTATGGCTACCATTACGAAATGATTAAAGTTTACAGTACCTCATAAAAGGGGAGAGTCTTAAATGGCTGCCATTATGGATGAGGTCATGTATGAATTAATAATAATAATAATAATACTTCCGTCCCGCTATATTCGTCCACTTTTGACTTTTGGAACTGTTCATCTAAGCACTTTGACTCATCAAATTCTCTCAATGTGTAAGCCTAAATATATTCATGTGTGATCTTGTTTGATTTGTCTTAACATATAGATTATTAATATATAATTTCTATAATTTTTTAATATACAAATTACAAGATAAAATGGATTAAAGAAGTGTATTGGATGGTGTGTAAAAATGAAGGTGGACAAATACTCTAGGACGGAGGTAGTAGTAGTAGTAGTAATAATAATAATAATAATAATAATAATTACTCCATCGTAATAATATTAATAATAATACAACTTGAAAGCTCTTCACATGCATCAATTTTGCCCCCTCCCCTACCCCCACTGCACCCAGCACATTTTTCACAAGGTGATCATTATTTACACTAATTGCATTTTCATTTACAGTAATTATCTCTCCACATCTTTTCATTTTTGTATGAATGTTTTTCTTTTAATTTTTTTGTTTGATTGCTTTTGTATTAGTTGTGTTTAGATTTTGCTCCCAATTTCAGCAAAATTTGGTGATAGTGACAAAAACTTGATATTGTATGTTGGCAATATTCACATTTCACTTTCTTTTTTATATTAAATGTTGACATATTTGACATTATGCAATAACATGTTTGACATTATGTAATGACATGTTTGTCAATATGCATTATCGTCTTTGACATTGTGATTTTGGTTGCCATTGTATTGAAAGCCTTTACCCTTGGCAGTGACACCATGACACTATGGTGGCGACAATGGCAATCCTGATCACAAGTTGGTAGTAAATTGCGTCATTGACAACAACAAATAGAGGTGATGGAGGCGGCATCCGCAACAAATGGGGATGAGAGTAGCAGATTGTGGTGGCGATGACGGCGATAGAGCCGACCGTGGCGGTGTTAGTGGCAGGATTGGTAGCAACAATGTAGATGGTGGCCGCATTTAATAGCGATGGTAGTAGGAGATTGTGGCGGTGGAGTGACGGCGACGACAGTGGCGGTGATGGCAGCAGGGGTGGCGACAGTGACATGTGCATGGGGCAGGGGCTGTAGCTAATTTAAGTTTTTTTAATTTATATAATGTATTTAATTTCATATTTGTAATATGAATATAACTTCTATTTTGTTGCATGGTCAATGTTTTACTTCTATTTCATTCCTTAACTCTAAGCCATTAGATTAATTAAAAGTTAATTACTCCTATTTAAGATAGTTTATGTTTCAACTCTTATTTTGAAGATATGTCATATGTTTTAGTACTATTTTAGTCCTTCTCCCAAAGGTGTACCCCATTTGTACACCACCCCCTTCATAACCACTCATTTATTTTTGCGGCATAGTTCACGTATTAAAAGAATAAAAATTATTAATATAGATATGCGTAGTTCACGTATTAAACAAATAAAAATTATTAATATAGATATGTTAGATTTTGGTTCTTGTGAGAATAAAATTTTATGAAAGAAATGTGAATGAACAAAGAACGTCGAATCAAGAGATTTTAAATTATTTTTATTAAAATTTTAAACAAACAAAGAAGGGTGAAAAAGGTATTCAACTACTCCCTTTGTCCCTCCATGTTTGTCGACTTTTCAAGTGGCACAAATACCAAGGAGAGAGATTTAATTGTTTAAAATGTCTTATATACCCTTAGATGAGAAAAGAGTGGGTGGACAAGATGGAGCCGTGTACAAAGAGTTTACAGTAGCCCATATCTCCCTTTTGCTTTTTACAATGATTACAATCATCGCCAAAAATTAAAAAAATTATTTTTATTTAGAATAAATTCGCTGAATTGGCGGCAAAGCTTCTAAAAAAGGAAACTCTTCCCTCCTTATATATCAGGATCTCGCCCCCCCCCCCCCTCCAGCTTTCTCTCGTATTCTTCTTTCTTCATCTTTCTCTCTTGTCTTCAAGTATGCCTCCCAAGTTAATTCTTCTTCCAATAACCCCTATTTCAAAAATGATAATGAGAGAGAAACACATAATCAAATAGAGAAAGGCACACACAAACTTATAGATGACACTAGAGCACACATCATCCAAATCATTCTACAACACTTGAAGAAGGAGAAATCTAAAAAGGTGTCATGAAAGAACTTGCTGGGCAGTTTCACATAAGTTCAAAAACTGTGCAAAGATTATGGGCACAAGCTAAGGAACAAATCAAAGAAGAAAAAATAGTCAGTGTCATGGGCAGGATGAAAGGGAAGTTCAATGGGAGGGAGGGTCTCACTCTTACAGTTCAGCATGTCTCAGCTGTGTCCCCCACTAAGAGGCAGACCATTCGAGCACTAACAAAGGCAGTATCTGTGTCAAAAAGTACCATTCACAGGATGATAAAGTGTGAGAAAATCAAGGCTCATACTAACCCAATCAAACCTTATTTGACAGAACATAAGAAGGTTAGAGTTTTGCTTAAGTAAACTACATGTATGAAGCATGGGAATAGCTCCACAGTTTCAAGATTTTTATGAGTATGTGCATGTAGATGAAAAATGATTTTACATGACTCAGACTTCACAGAAAGGGTATTTTCATGCAAATGAGGAAAACCAATTCCATAGAACAGTTAAATCTAAGAAATTTATCACAAAGATAATGTTCTTAGCTGTAAGTGCACAACCACAATTCACAGAAGATGGGCAAGTTAAATTTGATGGGAAAATTGACATATTCCCATTCATTAAAAAGGAACCAGTAAAGATAGAAACAGATAGAAACAGACCAAGAGATACTATAGTCACAGAACCAGCACTTTTAGTGACTAAGGAGGTCTACATAACATTTTTACTTCAAAAAGTCATCCCGACCATTAAGGAGAAGTGCCTTCTTATATGAGCAAAAGAGTGGTAATTCAACAAGATCATGTTCGGTCATACATATATAGCTTGTACCGACCTAGAATTTCTTGAGGTAGCCAAAACAGATGGTTTTGACATAGAATTAACATGTCAACCACCTAACAGTCTAGATCTTATTGTCTTAGACCTTGGCTACTTCAGAGCAATACAGGCCCTTCAACAAGAGATGAAATGGAAGAGCATTGATGTGCTGGTGGATGTTGTGACCCAATCCTACTATGCGTTTAAACCTAACCTTTCAAACTTTGTGTGGTTAAGTTTACAGTACTATATGGTGGGTGAGGTGATAAATATTTTTGTATGCAATGCATATAAAATTCCTCATGTTGGAAAGAATGCTCTGTTACGTAATGGTGAACTTCCTATATCAGTCAGTATTGATCCAGAAACAGTACGGCAGAGCTCATCATCACTTAAGCCTACAACATTTTGATTGGAGATTGTTCATTAGTGAGGATGATAATACTCATTCTCAAGAATGAACTATTTTTAGCTCGTGGACTAAAGTCTTTTTTTGTAAATAAGATGCAGTGTTCAATGCAATGTGATGCAGCTAAACATGGCAGTGTAGAAGGCTTATAGATGCAGATTAGCATGGCACATTTTGTGTAAGGTTCAGTGCCAATGCAATGTATTTTATGTAGAAGGCACTACCAATGCAATGTATTTTGTGTAAAGTTAAGTGTTGAATATAAAGGGTATAATATATTTTTGAACTTGTAAGGTCATTTTAGGTTTAAGATAAAGGGTAGAATGTGTTTTTTTAAGTTGTAAGGGCGTTTTGTATTCAAGATTAAGTTGTAGGGACATTTTAGGTCCAAGAAAAAATGTAGAATCTATTTTTGAACTTGTAAGGACATTTTGTGTGTGAACCAAAGTATTGACTGCCTTGATATGCCCAAAATGGTGTTGAATGTGAAGCCACTACGACATTTCTGTAAGAAATGAAGCAACATAAACAACAAAAAACGACATGAATGAAAGGTGGGAATAACACATGCACACAACTTCATCATTGACCACAACACATAGACTTATCGTAGACCACACATAGTGATAAGCCACAAATTTAAACAAGAACAAACACAGTACAGTACATACCTTCACAAAGAACACATAAAGTTCAAAATAAAAACACAATAAAAAACAGATTAGATAGCAAACTTCACCAACCTATATGAAGTGCATAAATAAAGTGAGAATATAAAAAAGGTACAGATTACTCCCTCAGGTCATGCCATGTTGGTGGTATGTTCTGGAACCAAGGTTGATACTAAAGAGCATCTAGATTCTGGCACTTTTACTATCATTGGATTAGGCATCTGATGTTGGCAATCTGATTTAGGGTCATGGGACTCAGAAACATCAAAGTCCTCGTCATCAACGCATTCTTCAGGGTATGGAACAATAATATCCTCAGCACCACCATAATCTATAGATTTGAGGTCATCGGACTTACGAACACCAAATTCCTCGTCGTCATCGATCGGCTAAATAACAATGTCCTCATCACTGGCTGAATATGAAGATTTGGTGTCAAGAGACTCAGGAACATCAAAGTCCTCATCATTGTTGCCATATTCAGAGTCCGGAACAATAACATCAAAGTCCTCATCATCGGATCCCTCCTGAAAGTCTGGAATAATACTGCCCTCATCACCGGAAAAAACTGCATATAAGATGACATAGGACTCAAAAAGATCAAAATCCTCATCATCATCGCCATCTTTAGAGCCTGGAAGAATAATACCCTCATGACCAGAAGGGAATCTACATATTTGGGGTCATAGGACTCAGAGACATCAAAGTCCTCATCATCGTCGCCATCTTGAGAATCTTGAACAATAATTCCATCATCAACACCCAAACCTGCAGATTTCAGGCCATCGGAGTCAAGAACATCATTGTCCAGATCATTGTTGCCCTTTTGATTGTCGGCGTGATATTTTCGATGGCAGAGATAAAGGAATTTCCATACCCCTGGTGTTTTTCGAATCTCATCCCAGATTTAAAAGATCTAGAAGTGATAGTGTATGATAACCGAAGAAGAGGAAGAGACAACGGAAAATAAAGGTTAGAAATTAGTTGGGGGAAGTGTAAATGATGTGGATGGAATAGGATGATAAAATTGGTAGGGTGGGTGAGAAAGTAAATGAAAAGAATGGAATTTATTGATAAGGGTAAAGTTGGATTTTTTTTATTTTGTTTACCAAAAATAGAAATGGACAAATATGGCGGGACGACCTAAAAAGGAATACTAGACGAATATAGAGGGACGTATGGAGTATATCTCAATTAATGCTAAATCAATCATCTCCCATTAATTTAACATTCCTTTTCCATTCCTATTGCAACTCATCATCCATGTTTCTCTTTTCTTTAAATACTCATCCACATTTGTTTGTTTTTTTGAAATGCTATTTTCTTTCTTTTTTTTTGCAAATTTGTTCATGGTAATCTTCTTAATAATCCTTTTGCATCCAAATCTATTTTTTTTGAAATCTACACAACATTACTTTTTAAATTGTATTTTTAAACATCAAAAATTTTTGTTTCTACTTTGCATTTTCAATATTTTTTTTTGTATTTTAGTCCAAATTCTACATTTTAAGAAGAATTGAAGAATACTAATATCGATTCATGGAGCCAGGCGCTAGTCATGCAATATAGAGAACTCAAAGTGCATTGTAATATGTTTTACATTGTTGTTAATTTTTAATAAACCAAGTCTGCATGGATCTTTGTTATTATTTACAATTGAGTATTATCTGATAAAAATAATGCATTTACACAATAAGGCAATTCATTATTAGATTTAATGTAAAGGATTATTGTGCATTCTGAAAATCGAAGTAGAATAAGTATAAATAATGATGATGTGGGTTCAAATTTAGGCAAACCCTTTCTTAAGTTTGTATTAAACTTGTTTTAAATAGAATGCATTCTCAGACTTTCTCATTGCATACAAAGTCAATCATGCTTCATTTTTCAGTAATATATAAATTAATAAAATAAAATTTGAATATAGTTTAAAGGATAACTCGGAGTGCATATATCAGCTATCAAAGTGTACTCATATTAGATCTTAGATGCATTTTCAATCATACAATACTCAAGTTAAAAATAGTGTCGAATCAAAATTGTAAACTTAATTTGGGACGAAGAGAGTACTATTAAGAGAGTTTGTAGCATCTCAAAAAACTATCATAAAATTTACGAAGTATATATTTATTGGGTTAGGTTAAAGATAAAAAATTGACTTTTTTTATATTAAAATGTGTGAAGAACATAATATTAAAAAAATCATATACAATTTTGGTATCGTTGGGTAGATCTCAAAGAGAAATTTTTAACGATATACTATTAGTCAATAACAGATTTGTATGTAAAAAGTTATGTGCAAATTAGATAGTAAAGTAGAATAATTAAAATAAATTAATATAATAATAATAACAACAAATTTTCTATCCTCATTTGCCACAACGTTCCTACCTTTCCCTAATTTAATGCATGACTTGTTTACAATTTTGCTCCTAAAATAATTTTGTGCCTATTTTTATGCAAAAGACATTATTACTTACCATAAATGCACACATATTAGTTTTGGATATACATAAAATTTAGATCCCTTGGATTCACTCCATCTAATGGTGAACATTCATTCTTATTTCTTTCACCAGGGTTCATTCTCACATGAACTAGCTTAGATATGTTATATTATATCTTTCATTTATATCTATTCTATTTTCAACATTTAAAGTGGTGTCACACTCAAAATATGCAGCTTCCTTCGTCCCAATAAAGTTTTCTATCTTTGACTTTCAAGAAATATGTAGAAAAGTAAAACTAATGGCTAAAATTGGAGGAGAAGAAAAAAACTTTTTTAACTGCTAGTTCTTTCTCAAAAGAAAAGTAAATTCTTTTGATCGTCGGTAAAAGAAAAAGATGTTAACGTGACCGAAAGGAATATTATAATACTCCGTGTTACAAATTACGTACGGATTACAACCGACAGGGAAAATGAACGGTCTCGAAAAGTTATTAAATATGTTCTGAATTTATATTTTATTTAGAATATAACTAAACAAACAAAACTGACCTTGTTGTACGTGGACATTATGCAGTGTACTGCAAAGACATTATGCACTTGAGCATTAAACTTATTCCTTAGACAAGACGGGTCTCGCCCATTATCCACCTACACGAGTTTCTCCAGCATATGGGTTGACAAGAGTTGAATGTTACCCATTTCCATCTCTAGAGAGGTCGGCTGAAGTGCCAACTCCCTTCCTTATCTGAAAGAGGCGATTCATCACTGAGCCATCGTCGCGTTAGTCTTATTCCCGCTCTTCATCTTTTTTCTTATCATGCTAAAATACACTTTTGAATATTCTCTCACTTGTCTCTCAATGGACCTGAGATTTTTTTTTGTTTTGATGATTCCAATTGACTATTGACTATTGAGCCTCCAATTCTCGTGGGTTCATTTTTTATCTTGCCCATTGAAGAAATAAGAATCGGAATGGAATTCGAAAAAGCATTTATTATTCTTTTCTTCCTTCTCCCACACCGGCAAATCTCGAAACAAGAATATTGTATATATACGGGAGGCTCACCACTAGGATCGTCCCTTCGGGGACATCCGATAAAATTGGAACGATACAGAGAAGATTAGCATGGCCCCTGCGCAAGGATGACACGCACAAATCGAGAAATGGTCCAAATTTTTTTTTCCACCTGATTTTTTTTTCATACGACCTTGAATTAGGTTTACGATTTCTGAGTTTTTTTTTGAATCGCCATGTTTCATTTCTGATTCAGTAAGATCCCTTTGTTCTTCTTGCTTCACGCTGAAATTCATATCTGAATACTTTATTTTATTTGGATTGTTTAATATCATGATGTTGAACTAAAAATCTGCGAGTATTTTTCAGCTTTACTTTAAAAACCTTCCCGGTTCTGAATTTTTATGCTACTTTTCAGGTTTAACCAAAAAAATCTTATAATTTCAGGGTTAATTCAGCTTTAATTGATTAATCGTTATTAAAACCAGTGATTCAGCTTCTTTTTTAGTGCAGTTGATGCTTTGTGTTGGGCTGCTCAACTGATTCTCAGAGCGTATAAGCTGTAGCAGGTCAGGAGTACTGCACTCATTCGTCTTGATTTCGTTTTTTTGGACGGTTAAATGAATATATTGACTTGTTCTTGCTGCTACGTTGTGAAATTCTTGGACTCCGTTCAAATCAAAACAAGGTTTGAAGATGCAAGCTATATTACTCTTTTTTTAAACGATGTTTTAATATTATGCTTTGGAACTGAAAACGTGTGGCAGATGAGCATCTCCACCGACCCGTATCGTCGTCTATTGTTTGCTTCCACTCATTAAGTGCCGATCGCGTGATCCAATCAATGCTAGCTGCCAGGAAATTCTCCAGCTGGAGGAGATCTTCTGCCTGCCGTGTGTGCGCTAATGGCATTTCACCTGAGGCACAACTCCATAATTCCACCCCTGAACAACAAGAGAAGCATTTGCCTCTAAGCCATACGAAGTAAGGACATTCCATTAGATCTTAACACCACGAACCTCTTCATGTTGCAACTATATGTTGGGAGTCTTCTTTAAATCTTGACAGATTTTTAAATGGTACATTATGGCAAAACTAAGCACTCATTATACACATTTAACAGGAAGGGGTGCAAATGTGGACATATAAACCACAGTGTCTCACTCAATCCCGTCTTTAACAGAGAATCTAATACCACTGGAGCAACACTTGATTTTTTTAATTCGGTGCATCATCGTTATAGCACCCGTTCCTATCATAGCTATGGCCTGAACAAGGTACCTTAATCTTATAGCAGAGCATGTTCATTCGCTGGCCTCAGGTCCCATTTAGTTTGTTCCTTTTCCCTCTAAATTGTTTGGAACTAATTAGGTGCTGGGGAATATGCCTGAGTTTGTGAGAATTGTGGAGGTGGGCCCAAGAGACGGGTTGCAAAATGAGAAGAAGATCGTACCAACGAGTTCCAAGGTTGAACTAATAAAAATGCTTGTGTCTGCTGGACTTTCAGTTGTGGAGGCTACTAGTTTTGTGTCGCCAAAGTGGGTACCACAGGTATGCGGTCTTGTTTGTTGTGTGTTCCTGCACTAGTTAGTCCTGTTATTTTTTTTTGTCTCTATGCTGTGATACTGGATAAGATGGAAACATATAGGGGAACATGTGTGTGTGATTATTTGATTACTTCATAGAGTATTTGTCTATTTGTTAGCTAGCAGATTCTTATTAGGGAATTGTTTAGTGGATTCTTGACTTTTTGTTATGTACACTTCTTTTGGATTTTGACGGAGACACACTATATGTTTTCTTAAATTCAAAAAAGCTTGCAGATGCAAAGGATGTAATTCAAGCAGTTCAAAGAATCCAAGGTGTGCGATTTCCAGTATTGACACCAAACCTTAAAGTGAGTTTCTTATATCGACAAACTATTCAAGAAATATGGTTTAAGTGGAACCTTTTATCATTGTTGTGGCTGTTACTGCAACCTTTTATCATTGCCGTCTCATGGAACTTTTCATTGTATTGAAAAGAACTTTAGACGATTGCTACATGAAGGACGTCTAAAGTAAAGACATGCGAACATGCCACTTTTTTAAATGAATTTTTCCTCTTACTAGTGTTATTATTACATTTGTAATAGTAAGAATAATAAGTGGTAATTATTTTTTTAAGTATTCTCATGTACTCGTAATATTTTGTTGGTTCAGCATCGTCAATACTACAGTCATAATTTGAACCTTGATGTATTAAAACTATATCCATGTCTTTGTTGAGGGTTTTGAGGCTGCTTTTTCAAGTGGAGCCAAAGAAGTTGCAGTATTTGCTGCTGCTTCTGAGTCATTTTCTCAGTCAAACATAAACTGTAGCATTGAAGAGAGTCTCACCCGTTATCGTGATGTTGCTCTTGCAGCCAATAATCATTCCATTCCTATTCGTGGGTAGGCCTTCTCATATGTTTACAGACTGTTATTAAAGTTGCATCCTTGAAAACCTTGTAGGTTGCTTAGGTAGCTGTTTGGACTTGTTTAATTGTTTTATAAGAAATTTTGCTTTTCTTGTATATTTATGTACTATCTGCTAAATACTTTAACACTCTGCAATGTTTTTTTCTTTGTCTTGGTCATTTTGTATATTTTTCCTTCTTAAAAAAACTGTGAGCATCATTGTGCTAGTTTACTTATTTAGCCCAATAAAACTGTCGCAATTTGCAATCTAGAAACATGTATCCTAGCACAGTCTAATATTTTTAGATGTATTTTGTCTATATCTTTAGAAGTTTTTTATGGTTTATTTTGAACTTACTAGGTTCTATAAGTGTTCATTATATTCTAATAGTTGTAGATGCATATTTTATTTTCTTTAACTCTTGTTCAAGCATGTAAATGCATATTTATTCACCAGATATATTTCATGCGTCGTGGGTTGCCCAGTGGAAGGGGCAGTACATCCTTTAAAAGTAGCATATGTTGCTAAAGAGCTTTTAGATATGGGTTGCTTTGAAATTTCCCTTGGTGATACAATTGGGGTTGGTACTCCAGGTAATGCAACAAACAGTTTCTTCTCCATGCTATTTTATTATGAGTACAGAGTATGGTTGCATACATCTTGATCCCCTGTATCCTTTAATGAAATTGGGATTCTATTGGATTCAATGTGGCTGCTATTTCCTTGGCAAGTCTTTGACATTTTTATTTTCTGATCCGCAACTTATTGGCTTAGGAACGGTCATTCCAATGCTTGAAGCAGTTTGTGAAGTAGTTCCTGTGGAGAAGCTTGCTGTCCATTTTCACGATACGTATGGCCAAGCTTTGTCCAACATTCTCGTGGCACTGCAGGTAATTAACTGCCTACTAAGCTTGTAAATTACCAATTTGTCCAAGGTTGTCGGATTCCAAACAATCCCTAAAATTTGTTGGTGCTTATTGGCTTATTGCTAATTATCAATTTTTAACTTATAAGCTACTCATTAGACAAATAATCTTCCGCGGAAGTAAAATGACCTAAATGATAGATAATTCATTTGGAAATATTCACAAATGGTGAAGGACAGTTTTGTAAGTAATCTGGTTAAAACGGAGAAACAAAAAAACTGGCTTAAAAATAAGAAAGTATGACCTACTTATTTTTTCTGGCATATAAGTCAGCTTTTAAGTACAAAAAAACATGTCATCAAGCTGAATTCTAAGTAAAAAACTGCTTATAAGCAGTTTTGACCAACTTATAAACACAGGGAAACACCCACTAAACAACGAATGAAAAACAAAACCGGTGATTGTTGACAGATGGGAATAGGCACAGTGGATTCATCGGTATCAGGGCTTGGGGGTTGCCCATATGCCAAAGGTGCATCGGGAAATGTGGCGACGGAAGATGTTGTGTATATGCTTAATGGACTGGGTGTGAGGACAAATGTCGATATCCATAAGCTTATGCTGGCAGGGGAATTCATCTGCAGACTTTTGGGCCGACCTTTGGGTTCTAAGATGGCAATTGCCCTGACGAAACGCGCCTCATTTCCTACTTCCAAACTTTAGAGGTACATTTCTGTGGGCATATATCTTATTGAACTTTTTTCCCGGCATGCCAATTTATGTACTCCAAACTCTAAAGAACTATGTATGTAATGTATAGGTTTTTTCTGTATACATAAATAGTTGGGATGCCCAATAGGGAGTATAATTTAATGGGGTTTGAACCCCTCCCCCCCACCCAACACTATGAGGGTCCGTTTGGTTTACGTAATTGGAATTGAAATGCCATGGGATTCAATTTCATGGAATTGAATCCATCAATTCCAATTCATTTTTTGCACTATCAATTCCAAATCCACATAGTTTTTGTGCTGCCAAACACTGGAATTGGAATTGAAGTTCTCAATTCCAATTCCATAGTTTGAATTTTGTATACCAAACGGGGCCTGAGAGAATTTGTTTATGCCGAGCAACAATTATTTTCACATTTCTTTTCATGTATAGATAATTGATCTTGCTATATTCTTTCACTTTGGTTATTTTGACAACAAATCATAGTGTCGTATTATGACAATAATTCAATTTGGAGCACCGTAAAATTGATGGTTCCCAACCATCCTCGAGCATCTTCCAGCATTAACTTAATATTTATTTAGGTGTATTTTCATATTATACTTATTACAATTATCACGGAGTATTAGTTTTGGGTGAATGTAAATATGTTTTTAATGATTTATACGAGGAGTGTAAATATGTGTTTATTAATATAAATTTGTACGGAGTATTAATTATATGAGGAGTTGCTAACCCTGTTTTTCTACCATCATCCGACCCTCGCCCCACCCTCTCCCTCCTCCGACCACCCATCGTTGCTTCCCACACGTCATTGACCACCTCCCCCACCACGGACACCGCTGTCGCTTGTCCCATGTTGCTAACCGTCTCGTGTCGTCGACATCCCATCATATTGTTATTGGCCATTTGCCACCATTCCCCCACCATCGTCGGCACCTCTCCGCAACTTATATAACACTATCAAAACACACACATATATTTTTCAGATTTTAACTCTCCAAAATGTACCAAACAAATCCTCAGACACGCACTCAAGATTTTGCAAGTTAGGGGTAATTGAATGGTTATAGGTTTGCCCCTTCTCATTTATGTTTTGTGCTATAGCTAGAGTTTAAAATTCATACTATGTATTCTTTTAGTTACAATATATTTTTCTAGGGAATACTTTTATAATAAAAAAAAACCTATTGTTTTACACACAAAAAAACAATCTTCTTTTTAATTATAAAAACATATTGTTTGTAGAAACAACCTAGTGTAAATATGTTTTTAATGATTTATACGAGGAGTATAATTAAAAAGTAGAAACAACCTATTGTTTTACACACACAAAAAAGTCTTGGAACATAATATTGGAAAATTTGGCATAAAGACATTTAAATGGTCATTTTAGGTTTAATTATTAAATGGAATCCATGAACGACTTTGACCATTAATTAATAGACATTATATGCAAAAAAAATGGTAAGATGATAAATAAGAAATGAATTCTCAAAATTGTCCTGTTGAACATAAAAAAAACCACGGGGTTTATGTAGGGTTCCATCCAACATTGGAAACTAACCCCTTATAATCTTTGCCACCATTTAATAATCTTTACTTCCACAAATCCAGTTCTAATAAATCGTCCTTCATAAGTACACAAAAACGCCTCATTCTTTCAAACCTATTCCATTTAAGTGTAGTACCAATAGACCAAAACATTTTGAATCGTTTATGAAGTGGCGTGACAATGAAATTTGATGGCTTGCCCACATTTTGTTATGCAAGTGTACAAACCATAACCCTTGTTTGGGAATATATGATATAGTGCAAGCCAAAAATAGCTATATGTGGGTTTGGTTTATTATTATTACTCACAATATAGTACATTTCACCATAGTATACATGCATTTGTACTTAATTAGAGAGTGGAGAAAATAGGGAGTGCGGGCAAAGTATCCCCTGCATCGACGATATAAACGTTTCCAGAGACGTATTGGGAGGAGTCGTGGATCAAATATCGAACGAGGGATGTGATGGCGGGGTCTATGGTGCCATAGGTTCTCAATGGCACGGTTCTCTGGGCCACATTGTTGAGCCACTCCTTCTGTATCAATCCCTCTGTTATCTCGGATTTGAATAGCCCTGGTGATATTGAGTTTACCCTTATTTTGTGTTTTCCCAGTTCCAGTGCCATCACCTGCACATGCATGCACCATTCACAAACTTGAGATTTATTTCTAATTTAAAAAAAAACATTTTTTTTATATGCCACTAAAGAGTAAGAACAGACGTCCCCTGTCAGGGTTCAAACCTGGGTGAACTTCTCGTCCAAAGTCGTTGGGGTGGTCCTCCTGCCACTCAAGCCAAGGAGAAAGCTTCGTGGACGATCAGTTTAGGTTCCTCAATGTTATCGGCTCGGTTCACTCACGGAGTACGTCCAAATAAAAACAACAAACGGACTCAAGCCCAAACTAAGTTCTTTCTACCCACAGTGAATCGTTTAAAGCTTGATGGTGTTTTTAAGTGTGTATATGTTGTCAAAATAGATTATAAGTTATTTTAAGCTTATAGTTTATAGGTTAAAATCTTAAAACTTGAGTGACGATCCTCTGGGATCTCGAGTATAACAACCTTGACTGTGTAAGCTGCGAAGTACGAAAATACGGAGTACGTGTTTCGAATGTTTTCCTGCTACTTTGTGGCTAGGCATGACTTCAGAGGTTGATAAAACAGAAGGGTTACAGAAACTTACCACTATTACTCACTGCCCTGAATGTGATAGCTATTTACAGGACCCTTCAACATGGATTAAAGCCCGGCTTGAATCAAAAGAACTTCTAACGTTCTGTGTCAAGACGCAGAAAACTTTCGATGAAGCTCGTTTGGTGGGTGTTGAGTTCATCTAGACTGAACCTCTTTCCAAGAGGACCAAAGTCAAGCTCAAAGTTCAGTATTGGAGGGCATCATTTAAGCCTCTACTTACAGGTAGGCAGCTTGTGGGACATATAGTTTTGGATGTTCAAATTGGGTCTTCCAAAGTTACTGTTGGTGGGTCACGATATGCTATAGCTGATGTCGAAGTAGCTCGAGTATCTGATTTCAAGAAGAATGACAAAATGTTCTTGGAAAGAACACATATTGGCCATCTTTTGAAATCCCGGGACTATGCTTTTGGTTGTGGTCTATACGGAGGCAACAATAACGATATCGAGTTGGACAAATACAAAGGATTTTCCCTCCCTGAAGTTGTTTTGGTAAAGAAAAGCTATGATTTCCCTACTGTTCCTCTAGACCAACTTGCTAGTCTCTAGTTAAGTGATGACGTTGAGGACGGTGGCCATGAAGGCGAAAGTATCATAGAGTGAAGGCGGGAGCGGTGCTGTTTCTCTTTTTACAATATAGGAATTTGAAAGATGATCAGCTTTTACCATTTCAAACTTATTTGCAGAAGCTTGTGTTTTTTTTATGTTAATAAACAAAGAAAAATGGAATATTGGGTGATGTTAAGAAATAAAGTGAGGGTAGTTGTAGTATTTTAAATGCTAAAAAGCTAATGAAAAGATCTTTCCCGTACTAAAAAAAAGAGCATTTTGAAAGATCTTTTCTGGACAGAGGGGAGTATTTTTTATACTAGGCTTGGACATGGTTTCTGTTTAAAACAAATCCCAGAACCAGAATTGCTGTTTCTGGAATCGGACCAGAACAAAACCAGCGGGGGTAGGGGTGGGGTATCGCATTGGGACTTGGTGTGTGTTTGGTTGGGAGGAAAATATTTTTCGAGAAGAATATTTTCCAAAGGAAAACGATTTCCCACTAATTGTCTATTGTTTGGTAGGAAGAAAATTTTATATAAAAAATAAATGTTAAAATTTCAAAATTGATATACTCCCTCCGTCCCCAATTTGATTACAAATTGCGGGTTACGGAGTAAGATTTCCTACTTTTTGAAATCATTTTATTTACAAATTGGTATATCAATAAGCTATAAAAATTACATATTAAAAAACTACGTCAAAAGTTCTACAAAACAAGAGGTGACAAGAATATTTTATTTTATCAAATACTTGATGAAATCGCATAAACAAACAAAAGTTATCGAGAGGAGAGAGAAAAAAGATTGTAATCTATTTAGGGACGGAGGGAGTATAAAAATATGTTTTAAAGATAATTTTAAATTATTTTAGCAACATGGGAGCAAGCGGCATAGGATGGGGGGTGTTACCGTGGGGTAAGAGGGGGGGTTGGGAGGGTTGGGGCATGGTGTGGCGGGGAACGGGTGTGGCGGATGGGCACGAGGGCGGGGAGCGAATAACAATTTTCTTTCGAAAACAAATGGAAAATATTTTTCTCTTGATGGGAGAAAATATTTTCTTACGGCTTATGTTACCAAACAGGGAAAAATAGAGTCAAAATATTTCAAAAAAATATTTTTCTCTCAACCAAAGAGATCCATAAATATTAAAAACATTTTTAAAAAAAAGGCACTGGAGTACGTACCCTTGTCAAGGCATTAACAGCAGTCTTGGAACAAACATAGGCAAGTGCTCCCGGGAGTTGGACACGATTGAGACCAGAAATGGAAGAGACGTTAATGACAGATCCTCCAACGTTAGCATTGCGCATGAGCAAGCAAACATATTTGGACACCAACCATGTCCCCCTTAGGTTTGTTTTCATGTTCTCATCCCACTCCTCCTCTGTCAGCTCCAGTGGTGTATGTACTTTCCCTGTCATGTCATCCATGTATGACAACTCATCCACTTAATATTGTAATTATCAAACTGGACCATGCTACACTTACACCAAAAAATGTACCCCAAACGTACACCACAGTTATGCACAAACGTTTTGATGGTTTACACCGACACAAGTGTTGGTGCGTTAACAAAAATTTACACGGACACAAATGTTAGGGTACACATAACTTAATCCTATCAAATGGACCATGCTACACTTACACCAAAAAATGTACCCAATTGTACACCACAGTTATGCACAAACATTTTGATGGTTTACACCGATACAAGTGTTGGTGCGTTAACAAAAATGTACACGGAGAAAAAAATATATTTATTGATTAATCACATATGAGTCAAGTTTATTGCACTGATACCCATGTAGTTTGATAAATGTGCACCGTTATCTCTTGCTTTCAAAACATACTTCATTCCCATTCTTGGTTTCGAAATTCCACACCAATACCCCCTACCTTGAGATGATGTAGGGTACGTCCCTTCAACTTATTTTATCAGCTTATTATTTATTTTTATTAAAATCATATCAGACCAGATCTCTAATCAGATCAGAATTAATTATATGTAATCATATTAGACTAGACCAGATTAGATCTAATCAGATTAGATCAAAGCAAAACGAATCAGATAAGATCTACTGACATTAAATTAGATAAATCCAAAAAAAATGAGAAAAAATATTTCTATTTTTTCAATTATTACTTAATAATTAATAACTACAGTATCATTGATATAAGAGAATGATAAAGAATACTCCCTCCGTCCCAGAAAGAATTTCCTGTTTTGATTAACGTGTAAAACCCCGAAGATTTTAAAATGATTTTATTTGAAAATTGGTAAGGAAATAACACATAAAAAATTATATTTAAAAACTACATCGAAAACTCTACAAAATAAGAGGCGACAAGAATATTTTATTTTATCAAATGATCAATGAAAACACGCAAACAAATTGGAATTATCGAGAGGCCATCATAGTAAACAGGAAAGACTTTTTGGGACGGAGGAAGTATGTTTTTGGAACATTACAAATAAAACATTATGTTAGCATGATTTCTAACGAGTATTACGATATATTCATTTTTAACAGTATTAGTTTGGGATATACTCCCTCCGTCCACAAATAAACTTTACATTGCGCGTTACGATGTTTGGCTGAAGTTATTTTCAAACTATTTTATATGAAAAATAGTGTAGAATTGAAAAATAAAAATTACATATTAAAAAACTATATCAAAAGATCTACAAAACTAGAGTGACATGATTATATTATTTTATCAAATGGATAATGAAAATAGGCCAACAAAGTGAATAAAGTTTGACCCTGTGAATAGTGAACGTAAAGTTTATTTGTGTACGGAGGGAGTAGAAAACTTATCATTTTGTAACATACTCTCTAGTATCCATATTTTTCAATAATTGGTTATTGTCAATGATTTTCTTTTTCTACATCTTTAGTATATTACACAACTTTTTTATTTCATAAAATATATAAATCTATAATAATAATAATAATAATAATAAAGTTATTATAATAATTTTAACATTTATTTGGATCGGATCAGATATTCAGATTAGATATGATCCTTTCAAATCAGATTAGATCTTTTTAGACCAGATCAGGTTGTATTAGATCAAATTCAACCAGATGATCAGATTAGATCAAATCAGATTAGATCCGGCAAGATCTTCAAAAATCATATAAGATCCATATTTATTTCCAATTCAATTAATATGGAAAATGGGTTAGCGTACCAGAACTTTCACAATGTTTAAATTTTTTAAAATATTTTTTCCTTTTCTGCAAACAGATGTAGTTCCCTAGGAAATACTATGTTTAATACTCCCTCCGTCCTATAATGTTCTTCCTGGTTCATTTTACGAAGTTTGACCGACTTTATTTTCAATTCAATTTATTTGATTGTAGGTGTAAAATTAAAAAATAAAATTTATATATTTAAAAACTACATCAAAAGTTCTACAAAACAAGTGGTGACAAGATTATATTATTTTATCAAATACCTAATGAAAATAGGTAAAGAAAGTCATAAAAGTTTGACCGTGTAAAAAGTGAGTGGGAAGAACATTATAGGACGGATGGAGTATATAAGGAGTAGTAAAAGTGTGCCAAAGTCACTCCAAGTTCAAAAACATGAACAAAGAATATTTCTACATGCCTGTCAAGCACGTTTGTTACATACACTGTTTAGATGGGCTTCACTTACACCAACAAATATACTCCATTTGTACACCACAAGTTTGCACAAACATTTCGATGGTCTACACCGACACAAGTGTTGGTGCGTTAATAAAAATTCACACGGACACAAATGTTGGTGTGTTTAACAAAAATTAGTTTTACACCAACACAAAATGTTAGTGCAAAACTACGGGGTATAAATTGGGTACAAATCTTGGGGTACACATAGCATAATCCCTCTTTAGATACACAGTTTTACTAGACAAAGGAGGCATTGGTGTAGGAACAAAATATGTGATGACAAAACTATTTCAAAAGTTCCACTCTGTTGTATCAAAAAGTTATACACAGATTTTTATCAAATAATCAATAACTTAAATGTCTAAAGAAATAAAATATAATTTAACGATGTGAATACTAGAGAAAATCTTTATTTGGGATAAATGAAGTACTTTATAAAAACTACAAAACTTTTATTTCAAAATAAACTTCACATGTCATTTTTCATACATTATTACTCGCTTCATTTTAAATTAAATTGCATATTTATTATTTATATAATCAAACTTTATTAACTTTCTTTCCCTATTATTTATACTCATTTGATAAAATAATATTGTCATATCACATCTTATTTCATAAAACTTTTGATGTTAATTTTTAATATGTAAATTAATTTTTTAATTCACCCTAATTCTCAAATAAACTATATTGAAAATAACTTCAGTTATTATTGTAAGCTGAAACAGATTATTTAAATTGGAATTGATAAATGACCCCTTAAAAAATTCGAAGTATATGCTTTATATGTACTTTTTTACTTTTCTACTTTTTAAAAAAAATTATAAAATCAAACCATAAAATTTATTTTTGAGACAAAAAAGTTACATTGCAAAATTAATTGAATAAGGAGTAACATTCCCTATTAAGTTTAATATCGGTCTTGTTTGAGAACATTATTTTCAATAAAGGTTAGGCTTCGTTTAGTACACAGAATTCAAACTATGGTATTAGAAATGGGGACAACAATTTCAATTCTGTTGTTTAGTAGTATAAAAATATATGGATTTGAAATTGATTGTGCCAAAAATAAGATTTCAACTTCCAATTCAATTTTAATTCTGTCAATTCCGTGTACCAAACGGACTCTTAGTGTTTTGGACAAAATTTTAAACTCCGTAATTTTTAAAGAGATGAAATTAAAGAATGTCTTAGATTACCCTTTCAAAATGCTACCTAGGCCTATTACTTCATCCGTTCTTTTTGTTGTGCTAAATTTGTCTAGGAACAACAAACGCAATAAATTACGGAGGAAGGAGTTTAATTACAGTTTGTAAAAACGGATTAGAAATGGTAAGATAAGCAGATCCCTAATGGCGATTTCAAAGGTAAAAGAGGCGTTGGTAGCTTGGATGGACCTTTGAGAGGAGTGTTTTAAATTTAAGGTTTCTAGATAGTATGAGAAATGGACGCCGTTCAGACTCGAGCCTCCTACGAGACCCCCCATTAGACCCATCCAAATCAGGGGCAGATCTACTTAGAGGCAAATGGGGGCCAATGCCCCCTACTAAATTTTGGTGCTAAATCATTTTCTTTGTTTTGAAAAAAAAAACATTCTTTACTTTGGACTCCATGCCCCCATTTAGATTGGGGTTGACCCCATCTAAAATTATGTACTCTCAACAAAAATTAATAGAATCTTATGTAATTAAGCTAGTTTTTAGTTTTTTGTTTAATTTTATTGAAGTGTATTTTATTTAATATAATTTATTATTTATAATAAGATTTCATATTACATACTAAACAATATTTTACATTCAATAAATTTTTAAAATAGAATTAATAATAAATTTTTTTTATTCCATATTGTCCGTTTAAAAAAATCCCTTGGCGCTGCCCCGAGATCCCCGACCAATTATGCCCCCATCTACCCAAATTCTTGGATCCGCTACTGGGAGCTCCCGAAACCAAGAGACAAGAACTAGAAAATATATAAGATACCGTCTGCGATCTACAATTTGTATTCCAAACTTTTTCCCCTCCCCATCTGCCCCTCCTTTTTACAAATCACCAATTGATTATAATGGTCACTATAGCCAATCGATGATCTAAGGAATGAAGGTATGGGGTAGGGGAGTAGGAACCAACAATTTTACCAACGGGGCCTGTAAAAAGACTTGAGTCATACTATGACATTCAAATCAAATGTCACTTGAACTGCGGGGATGAGAATTTTATCCAATGTGATAATTTCTTAGTATGAGACATTAAGAATTAGACTAAAATTATACCGCAATTTACCCCTTACTATCTTGTTGACGGAAGTGAGACGCCTAATGGGCATTTCATCTTTTTTCAAATGGGTCGATGAGCCTCATCCCTGAGGGAGTTAGAATTTCAGTGGACCGAGTGAATCAAGTGAAGTGTCAGGTGAGATTTGATCACTTTTCCATATAAAGTCAGGTCCACTTTCTAACCAAGAGTTTGAGTCAATAGATAAGTTTCACCTTTTTTTAATAGAAGTGGTCTTTGTTATATTGACTACCTAGGTCTAGTTACTACTTGGATAAAAAGATTTAGTATCTCAATATTTTTATAGTTAATTTAGAAGGTGATACCAAGTTGAATTAAATCCCACCGGGCTTGGCTTTTATACCATGTTAGAATTTTAGTTGGCCGAGTGAATCAGGTGGAATGTCTGGTGCAATTTGATTACTTTCCCATATGTCCAGATCCACTTTCTAACCAAAAACTTAAGCCAAGTAGAATTTCACCTTTATGTATATGGAGGTAGTCTTTGTTAAATTGGGCTAGCTCTACATTAATCTTCATGTAAATTGATCTCTAATCACATACTTCCCCCATGTCTCTAAATATTTGTCACACTTCTATTATCGAGGTAAAAATATCCAGTTTTTTTCAATTGGAAAAAAGGTATTGAACTGTAGCTTAAAAGTGACGAGTTGTTGCCGGGAAATAGAGATTATTACCTCTAACGCCGGCGTTATTAACCAACGCATCGATCCGGCCAAACGAGTCCCAAGCTTTCCGAACGGCGGCTTCAATGGCGGCTCCGTCTGCGCTAACATCGAGCCCAATAGCCACCGATCCGGGCTGCTCGCCGGATCTCATCGATTCCATTCCGTTAATCTCGTCGCACAGAGACTTGAGCCGCTCCACACGGCGCGCGGCGGCGATGACTCTGCAGCCGGATTTGGCCAGGTCGAGGCTGATATCTCGCCCGATCCCGGACGAAGCCCCGGTGACCAGCACCACCTTCCCGGCGAGGCTCTGCCACGGCTCTAGGTGGCGCGTTACTCTCACGCGGCTCTCCATTCGGCTCCGGCGGAGAGAGGAAGGGCGAAATGAGCCAAACAGGGCGGCGAGGCCTTTAGTAAGAAGCGGAGGACAATTGTCGCCGACAGAATAAAAGAGGGAGCGTAACGGCTGTCCCTTTCACCTTGGGAGATGGGGCCCTATGGTATTATTCTCCTGATCCCACTTTACTTTGTCCAACAAAAAAACGTGTAAATTTTCGGAAAGGTAGGTACAATTTACACTATATGCAATATACTATTCATTTTTTGAGATTCCAAAGGATAGTGTAAACCAAATGTTAAAAAACACTATAGTGGAAAAAATAATTTCCAACTTGTATATATACAAGATGGTGCAAACCAAATGCTAAAATAATTATTTCAATATTTAGTGATGGTGTAAATATAGCGGTATGGGTTAACCGGGTTTGACCTGGACACACTCGATCCGTAATATAAAACACACAACAAGAACACAAAGTATGACCTAGACCGGGTAAATCTCCTCAGTCCGAATTATATTTCTTACTCTATCTCAAGAGTGAACTTTAGTGAGAGAAAAATTGGATCCCCTCCTCTATCAAATATCATCATATTTATAGAGCAGGATTTGTGACCTTCCCCTGTTCATCCATGGACAAAATAGGAAGCTCGTGGGAAGATCACTGTAGATAATGGAAGCACTGTACAATCACATACTTGCTACTAATACAACCAAAAAAGCTTTGTTCAATCAAAGACTAAAATAGATATTCTCAATCCAATCAACCCTGCAAAATGACAAACATCCCTTTCACTGTATGCCTCGTGACGGATGAGCGGCGGGGTGTCCCCTTGACCTCTGACGTGGTTCACCGTGCCTAGAGACTGGACCAATGTTAGCAAAGTAACGTGGTATGACCGGTCACCTTTTCTCAAAGGTTACCCGGTCATTTCTTGAGCTCAGCCCGTCTCTTTGGTCTTCCGGAATATCCTTCGTTACATAAGGTGATATTTTGGCTATCGCCCAAAATGTGACCGGTCACTTTTTTAGTGGAAGTGACCGGTCAACTTTTGACCCGTCCCAATTGAAGAGTTAACCTCATTTGGTGATTGATAAAAGTGACCGGTCATAATTTGACATGTCCCTTTCGGTTGTCTGGGTTGGGTATACCCATCATTTAGTTTTAAATAATACCCATCATTTAGTTTTAAATAATACCCATCATTGAAGAGTTAACCTCATTTGGTGATTGATAAAAGTGACCGGTCATAATTTGACATGTTCCTTTCGTTTGTCTGGGTTGGATATACCCATCATTTAGTTTTAAATAATACTAAAAATATTATTAATAGATTGGTTACATTATGCATATCATAAATGTGAGTATAATCAAACCAAAAATTAAACATATAAATAACTTAAAATAATAAAATATTATAAAAATGTATTATATAAAGGGAGAAAAACCAAAATAGCACTCTAAGAGCATTAAAATACTCTAAATAGCAGTGATATATGTTTCGTACCTGTGATTCCAATTTTGTCCTTTAGTTAAACAACAAATGTTCATTATGCACTGCCAAAAAATATGATTGTTTTGGGCAATGTGGTTGTTCACTCGTAATTGTGTAGTGGGCAGTGTGGTTTTTATATGTGAGTTTTTAATGTGGCTGTGTAGAATGGATATATGTTGTTTTATCTTATGGAAGTGTGTAAATGTATTATTATGTTTCTTAATTTCATGTTGTATTGTAATGTCCATTGATTTATGTGGCAGTGATTTCATGTATTAATTCTACACTGTCAAAAAATGTATAACTATTTTCATTATGAATTCCACAGTGCCTAAAAAATGTATAGCTCTTTTCATGTATGAATTCCACACTATTTTCATGTATGAATTTGACACTGCCAAAAATGTTTATGATTGTTTTCATTTATGAATTTCACACTGCCCAAAAATGTATGACTAATTTGATAAATAATCTATTACACCAAAAGACACTGGCCAAACAAGGGCTTGACTTTTTTGGTCTTTCTCGATTTTGTATAATGTTAGAAGATGTTAGTATTAGACATATGTTGAATTTCATTTATGTGGTACTGAAAAGAAATGGATAATGAAGGTATTATGTTGTAAATTTTAAGACTTTGTAAGCAACATACACTGCAACATTATGTTAAATTGTGCAACATAGCACACTGGCCAAAACATAGGACATAACACACTGGCAAAAAGTATACCTAGATCACAAGCATTCCACACTGCCAAAAATCTTTATATAGAATAAAAATTCACTGCCAGAAAGTGTTTGTAGAACATGATCAATCCATACTACCCAAATATTTACAGCCACCATATTGAATAACATATTTCATAACAATCTCTTTCATGGTAAAACCCTATTGTCATAAAATCAACCACAAGCTGTTTGCACAATATGAAAGTCAAATAATAATTATTTATAACATTGGTAGTTATATATGTAAGTCTCATTGTCACCACTTGTTTATAGAATGTTTTATGTAGTTTTTTTAATACTCCCTCCGTCCACAAATAAACTTTACGTTCACTATTCAAAGGGTCAAACTTTATTCACTTTTTAGTTTTCAATTCTACACCATTTTTCATATAAAATGATTTGAAAATAACTTCAGTCAAACATCGTAACGCGCAATGTAAAGTTTATTTGTGGACGGAGGGAGTATATAATTCCTTTCTTAATTATACACTAACTTTTACTTATATTGATTTGAAAATAACTTCAATTAAACATCCCAAATCGAATAAGAGCCCTATTTTGGGATGAAGGAAGTATTTATAATTGACATATTTTTATAATATAATTTTGATATATCGTCTTTTTATTGTATATATTTATTCAAAACTACATTTAATTGATTGAAGAAAGAATTTGATAAAAAAAGAGTACTATGCCACTATACACAAAGTATACATTATGTGAGTCCGAATTTGATATAGGAGTTGAAGAGGAATTGAAACAATTGATAGTCGGATAGATAAAAGGGATTGACAACATAAAGGGTATGATTGCAAGAGATTGACAACATAAATAGCTAATTTGGTAAAAAACAATAAGCAGTGCTAAATGCGTAGTATTAGATGAGTTAGAGTGCTACGTAGGGTGAATTATTTTATATAAAAGATATGATTAGAGTGAGTATAAAAAAGTGAATGTGTAAAATACTGTTGATAGTGTAAAATAAATTTTTATACTATCATTTTTTCCACTATAGGTTGGCCCTCATGTTCCTAAAGTTTGAAATGTCTACTTTTTCTACTCTCTCCTTCCCCAATCTTTATGAAAAGTGCTAGGGGTACACCAAATGTGTACCCCATTTGTCCCCCACCCCCTCTTTGCCCACAAAAAAAGGCAAGAAATTCAAAAAAAAAAAATTAATAAATAAAAATAAAATAAAAATGGGTGGTGGAGAAGGGAGTGATGTACATTTGGGGTACACCAAAGGTGTACCCCTAGCATTGCTCAATCTTTATATATAAAATTTAGGAGTTGGGTTTTTAAGATTGTGACATGTGGCACGCTTATAAGACAACTTTTTTGACATGTCAGCAAGTAATATTTAAAGAATTAGTTAACAAAAACACTTATTTTATTGAAATTGAATTTTGTATTTGTTAAACACAGATTTCTTAGCATAATCGCGTTTAAAAACTTTTATATTTTACTTCATTATTGGAAAATATTAAAATTTAATAATATATTTTGATACGTAGTACTCCATTTAAACAAGGAACTCATATTAAAAAAAATCAAAACAAACAGATTTATTCCAAGGGATAGTTTCGTAGGACTAAAGTAAATCTTTATATATAAAATTTGAGAGTTGGGCTTCTAGGATTGTGACAAGTGGCACGCTTATAAGACAACTTTTTTGACATGTCAGCATGCCATGTCAGCAAGTAATATTTAAAGAATTAGTTAACAAAAACATTTATTTTATGGAAATTGAGTTTCGTATTTGTTAAACACAGATTTCTCAGCACAATCGCGTTTAAAAACTTTTATATTTTACTTCATTATTGGAAAATATTAAAATATAATAATATATTTTGATACGTAGTATTTAAATAAGGAATTTATATTAAAAAAATCAAAACAAACAAATTTAATCCAAGAAGAGATAGATTAGTAGTACCAAAGTAAATCTTTATATATAAAATTTGAGAGTTATGCTTCTAGGATTATGACATGTGGAACGCTTATTAGACAACTTTTTTGACATATCAGCATGTCATGTCAGAAGTAATATTTAAAAAATTAGTTAACAAAAACACTTATTTCATGGAAATTGAATTTCGTATTTGTTAAATACAGATTTCTCAGCATAATCGCGTTTAAAAACTTTTATATTTTACATCATTATTGGAAAAAGTTAAAATTTAATAATATATTTTGATACGTAGTATTTAAACAAGGAACTCATATTTAAAAAAATCAAAACAAACAAATTTATTTCAAGAAGGGATAGATTAGTAGGACTAAATTAAATCTTTATATATAAAATTTGAGAGTTGGCTTCTAGGATTGTGACATGTGGCACGCTTATTAGTCAATTTTTTGACATGTTAACAAGTAATATTTAAAGAATTAGTTAACAAAAACACTTTTTATGGAAATTTAATTTCGTATTTGTTAAACACAGATTTCTCAGCATAATCATGTTTAAAAACTTTTATATTTTATTTCCTTATTGGAAAATATTTAAATTAAATAATCCTTTCCTATAATAAAGGAGACTCCAATTTACAGCAATTCGACATTTGGCATGTCTATTTGGCAAAACTTTAACATGTTAACGCCACGTAATAACTAAGTAAAATTTAAAAAATATTATACACAGAATAAGAAATTCATGCCGATTAAATTGATGACGTTTAAGATATTAATTGATAAAAAGGTTTAAATAATTTTCATATACATGTTTATACCACGAAGGTTAAAAGGAAAAAAAATTATATACGATCCCCAATGCAATGTTTATTACATAGCACATGGCTTATTTTTATTAAAAAGAAAACAAATGATAAAAAGTATTCATGAACACCTCAAATTTTAACATCTTTGAGGTTAACA